AACTTGGAGCCGGGAGTCCTCCAACAAGTTCAAATATACATTCCTCTTCACGTAAGATTTTGCTCCGATTGGAATTTGAATATTGAATAGAATTTAGTAAGGACATAATTCACCACAATTCATAATTCACCATAATTTCTATATTTGATTGGAATTTGAACAGGAATATCTTTCCAAAAAAAGAAAAACATAGCATTTCCGTAGAGTTTAATTATACTTCAATGCAGACAGATTTCAATTGGCTGTTGAACATAAGAAATCATTTAAGAATCCCTTCCCAAATATGACTTGAATTGGAACAGAGCTTTGTCTGGAAAGAAATCAGTTGGCCTTTGCAAACAAATTTGAATAGCAACTCATTCCCAAATATGATTTAGATTAAATGTGGCTAAACAAACAATGGGCAAATATCGCCAGACTCCCAAAATTGGTCTGGACATTTGTTTGTGGGTCTGTGCAGGTTGCAGAGCTCAAAGCCGCAAAATGCATCATTGTTTCAATGTTTTTCCCTGGTGTACTCAACACCACTGTAAAAACCAGTGTTTTCAAGCAAAGCCAGACTCGAATCTGAAAACGGAATCCGTTTTCGCTTTGTTGCCTTTCAAGCGTAAACAAAGCAAGCATTTGCTGTCATATAGAAGGTAAAACACCGACAGAAACACTGTATATAGTTTACAATGTTTTCAGGCATCTGCAAGAACGAGGCACACAGAGTAGACTTGACACCTTCAACTAGAAGAGAGGAAAGGTAGGCGCTGGGGGGGGGGGGGGGGTGAGCATATAGATGTATATATCTTTGTATATATAATGGGTTTCAAAGTGAGGGAATGATATATATATATATATGGTACCCCCGCCCCCAGTACCCAGGTGTTGTTGCATCATGTATGAAAACCATTGATATTTACAGTGTATGTTGATTGAACTCATGCATTTTCTGCAAGTCCATTTTGTGGACCAAAAACCAAAACACCAAAAAAGCAAAAAAATCCTAGCCCCCACCATGGCTGGGATTCTTTGCTTTTTTGGTTTTTTGGTCCAGGGAAATGTTGCGCAACAAATTCCAAATGTTGCGCAACATTTGCGCAAACGATCTGAGAGCCTCGGTGTTAGGCAAGCTGTCGCTTTCAGGATCCATTTTTAGCCATCATTTCATCTCCCTAGTATTCCGACTCCTGATCTGTCACATGGCTCCTAAGTTCACCATGCAGATCGCTGGCCAAGTGCAAGTTGACAGCTCCCCAGTCTCCATACGGTTTGCTGTCCCTCGAGCCAGTGACCATGAAGGAACTGATCCTCCTCCTGCCCGGGCTTCAACACCTACATCTCCGCCCATTCCGAAGATCATCATCCAAGAGATCCAGAACGGCACTTTGGCAGCGCATGAGACCAAGAGCAATGCAACAAGCAGCCCAGGAAATTGGACAACGCATGCACTCCATCCAGGCAAGCTTGTGCATCCAACGAGGCCGCTTCGGCGCATGGAATGCTGATGCGCAGCAACGCCTCCACAAGTGGCTGCTCACTGCACGGCGCCGAGCAGGGCAAGGGGATGCGGCGCAGCCGTGCTTGGAGGACAAGAAGCGCGAAGTTCCCAATGCGCCGTCTCCATCTCCCAAGCGGTCTAAGGTCAAGTCTCGGAGTTCCAGTTCTTCATCCTCGTCGTCTGGGTCTTCCTCGTGCTCGAGCGCTAAGGCATCCAAGCCCGAGAGCCCGAAGGCATCACAGCCCGAGGGCCCGAAGGCAATGCTAGAACAAGAAGCGAAGCGCCGTGAGGAGTTGGAGGCCAAGACCTTGGAGCTCGAGACCGTCGTGGCAAACTTGGAGAAAGAGAACAGCATGCTGAAGGCACAGGTCCGTGCTTTGAAGGCAAAGAAGTAATGCACAAAGCCGTGATGCACACAGTCGTGGGCAGGCATTGCCATATGAGCGGGGAAAAAAGAAAAGCAGGATGATTCCTTGGGGCCATGTGCACCTGCGTGCCTGCATGATGCTGTGGCTATTGTTCTCATATGCAACTGTTTAGATCAGTGTTCAAAAACTTAGGTCTGCCACGCCCCTCTCATTAGCAGTTCAGCCATCGGTCATATCATCCTCGATCTTAGAGGAGGTTTGCCTGAAAGTGGCGTCCATGAGTGTGACCAAATTGGAACGGCCTCGTTTTGATCGAAACGACGAATGTGCGTACAACATGGCTGAACTGCCCCTCAAGGATATGGATAGTGAGACCAAGGTCAAGTCTGCAGTGGATATTGTTGAACAAGAACTTCTTTGGGACAACATTGACTTTGATGCCATTGAAGCAGTCATGTCCAAAGAGGACTACTATGACCTCCCGGCACGGTTTGCTCCTGCAAGTAAGTCTGTCATCTCCTTCAAGATGCAAATGGTCATTCGCAGGTCGACGCATTCTACTTGCACCATCCTCAAGCACTTCATCTTTGAAAACAAGGTGCCAGTCCGCGTGTTCAGGGCCATGGCTGTGGGGAAGCCCATGGTTGTGGAACTTGGACAAAACTTCCGCAATGGTCTGCTGGGCTTTCAGCTGCTGCTAAGCCAGTGCGCGCATTGGTCTGCGCAGTACTTTCACTGTGAGGCGAGGGCACCCAAGCGGTCCGCCGTGAAGAACAAGACTGCCTTGCAGATCGGCTTCGACCTCATCAAAGAAGAGAGGCCTCGGACGAACATGCACAACCGCCAAACAGAGTGGACAGAGATGGAGATTCAGCGGGAAGGTGGTCCTATCTTTGGCTGGAGCGCAGGCCTTGTGAAGGGGTCTTTGAGTGGATACTCGTCTTCCAACGTCTTCGTGGTGCCCACCACAAACTTTTTCCTGACCCTCCATGATCTGAATGCGTGGTTCCTGCACGACATCCTAGCTCCACTTCTCTCAGATATCAAAACAAAGACATTGGTTTTCATGGGCTTAGCGGAGAAGGGCAAGACCTCTGCTGCTCAAGCAATTGCCATGGCCATTTCAGAGTATTATGTCCTCAAGGGAGACAATGCTGAAGAAGAGCTGCCCTCCTTTCGACTCTGTTCCAGTCTTGACCAGCTACGTGGAGAGCCTGGTGTCAAAGCACGCCCAGACATCTTGGATGATGCAGACACGAGCTCCATTCCCATCCCAAAGCTCAAAGCCTTCCTCGACTCGAGCTTGCTGGAATCCCACAGTCGAGCGGTGGACTACCAGTAAGTTTGTTTTGCGCCAGCTGCACGTCGTCTGCGACAACAAGGTCAATGAAGCAGCGGAACCTGAGGTGTCTGACTTAGGCCAGACGATCTCATTTGGCAGCTTCTTGGACATGATTGCACCGGCTTTCCCAGAAAAGGCCTCCAAGCAAGACATGCTGGCCTTGCTCAAGCGCGTGCGCTGGGTAGTCAACATGCCCAGGGCGACCTACGTTCGCAAAGCCGGAGGAGGAGAGGGTCCTGCGTGTGCAATCCCGCACGAGAACGGCGTCATGGGTTTCATCAGTGAAGAAGGCAAGCATGTCATTCGGGCAATGAAGGATGGCAACCCGTCCCCGCCTAGTGAATGGTTGTTCAAGCAGCAGTGGAGTCATGACTTCTTGTCCCTGATCATTGACAAGGGCCTCGTTCCTCCCGCAACTACTGTCATTCGTGGTCGCGGTCTCTTTGATGATGTGTTGAAAGTCCGTGAAGTGAAGCCCCAGTTGCCCGCATCTGGTCGCCTCTGTCTGCTTCATCCTTCGAGATCATTCCAAAGCAAGGCGTCCTCCTTGAATTCTTCCACACGTTGCGCAGCTGATCCACTGCCACGCGTCATCGTTAAAAAGGAGCGCTTCGAGGAAGAGCAGCTTTCAAGAAGGCCAAAACCTGGAGTATGTTCAGAGGGCAAGATCTCTGGAAGAAAACTGGAGAACTTGTACAGGACGCAATGTCGGCATATGTGCAGAAAGTGTAAAATGTAGCAAGACAGGGGTATCGATGCTACTCGAAAAAAGAGCTGTGCCCCATCCGTCACGTCCAAGGCGTCTTTCTTCAATGAGGCGAACCTCCTTCCTCTGGTCTCCCAGTGTGCAAATCTGAGCTATTCTTCCTGCTTGCTTCCGCGGTCACAGCACATCTGAACCAAGCCCAAGCCTGGGTACCTGGGGGGGGGGGGTAGCACATATATACATAAACATATATACACATATATGTGTGTAAACATAATTACATATCTAGTGGGTTTGTTTCCCTAAAATGTGTGGCTTCCTTTTTCCTCCTTCAGGGAGCCTAGACGGCGTCTAACAAATTCAATCGGTTCCGATCGCTTGCACCAAAAGACAACCAGGAGTCATTTGTCAGAACCCATTTGGGGTCGGCAAAGTTGCACGGGGCCCTCAAAAATACCTCCTCGAACCAATGCAATTATTCATGCCAGCTATGGAGGCTGCCATTGTGCGGGTTGTTTTTGGATGTGTCTTTATTGGACTGTTGTAGTGTCGGGTTGAGACGTTGCGTCAACGCGCACAGTGGGTTTTGGACGGTGTTTGGCTTTGTTGTTGTTTTTAAAGAAGGAACGGCTTTAGATTAAATGGTTTGTGTGCGACTCACCAGTTTCTCGTGATTTCCTGACGACAGTTTGCGTTTTTTAAACCCGCCAACATGAATTTGTTTGTGTGCGTGCGTTGGTACTAGTACCACTGCTACTGGATGTGAGGTGCACCCCGGAGCTACAATGGATGTTAAGCGCGGCAACATTGCCATGCTAGTTCACCATTTTCGTTATGATGTGCAATTCTCGCAGAGTTGCAAAGCTCTGCCGAAGAAATGCTGATAAATATCATATGAGGTATTTCAGAGCCTAGAGTTTGATTGGAGCCTATTTTCTTGGTAGAGGCTCTTAATTAGCAGACCTCGCATGTACTGTACCTTGGAAAGCGGACCCTGTCACTTGGCAGGGATGGCCATTAGGGAATTCACACGGCCTTTTCTAGGACTTTCTATTCAGGAAACACAATGGCTCGCATTTTGCTAGATGTGACCATGGCATGCATGCTTCCACGGACCCACTTCTCCAGATCCCTTTTTTGCGCAGAGGTCCAACACCAATCTTTCATCTCCAGGTCCTTTGCAGTACAGGACAGCAAACTTTGGCAGGTGTACACTGAGTCGCGTCTCGTGGAGCAAACCACTCCGGTGTCCTTGCAGTTCACTGATCGTGCCTTGGAGTCAAAACGTCAGGGCTGTGGCTTTATAGTGGGTGTATATCCCATGAACCTGCTGGGGGTAGAGGTTTGGGAGTAGTGGAAACCCTCTTAAACAAATCAACCAGGGGCGCATCACCTTGTATTCCGGACCACCCGCTTGACACCTGAAATCGTTGCCACCTGGAACTTGCCCCAAGGGCGTGCGGGAAGGCATAGCCAGCCAGGGGTTCAAGAATAGTGGGGGCCCAAACGGAAAGCGACCTTGGTCTTGCGATCTTCGACTTCAGGGGAGTTCAGAATGGTGGAATCCCTTTTGGACTTTTGGGTGGTAAAGGAGCAACCCGTTTCAAGGGCCCCTATGACGAGCATCTGTTTGAGGAACGAGAAGATGGACGACTGACAAAATGCTTATGGGTCTGCTGTCAGCTTGAAAAGGGCCAGAGGTCCACCCAATCGTTTTGAGGACAAACGACATGTCCATAACTCACTTCAAGCCAATAACTCTCTGCCTTGCACACTTATATATGGAATGCTGTGTTTTCAGTCCGTGGTGCCAGAAGTCCCCTTTATCGACTTCACGGTTTAGAGCCAGCCAGAAGGAGATTATACTACGTACTTGATGCCTTCAGGCATTTCGTCGGGGCTGACAAACTTATTGCGACCCTCTCGGTAGCATCTGACGAAAAGTGTACAATGTAGCAATTGTAGATAGATTGTGGAGAGGGCGCCAGAATGTAGGCTTGCAGTCCTCTCTATTGGATATGGTTCGATGGCCGGACCTGTTCTTGTTTGGTATGTATGTGACTAATGGTTATCCAGACTGAGCTGGCCCGGTTGCACTGTATTTGGTTGAGTCTCGATATTATCCGTTGAGCGAGTTGATAAGAGTTATCTCCTTTTGCAAGGAGTTAAAGTCAACCAGCTCTTCTTGACTTTCAGGAAAGGTAGATGGCTTGCAGGATGGAATTTACCTAGAGAGGCATATGTTGGATATCCTGGAGTGGGCCATGTTTGATGCGGTATCTTTTAAGGAGAAGCAGCAAACCTGTAAATGGTTGTTATTTTCTAGACCCCATGTAAGCCCCACAGATTCACAGGAACCGACCCTCCGCTTCGCAGGCGAGTCCTTAGCGCGGAACCTCAGCTTCCCGGACTTCGATTTGGACTACGACGATCTCGGGGGCACCTTGCGGTGGCTGGCACCAGACGACGCCAGCCAGGCCGATCGCCTTTTCGGCCGGAAGCTGAGACCTTGAGAGATGCTTAACAAATGACACTTGTCAGATAGAAAACGGGTGCTTTTTGGTTGGGGGAGTTCGCCCCTCCAAAAGAATGGTGGTTCTCCTCTGGGTTCGCTTCAAAACCACAAAAAGGGAGGTAGCCATATATAAGATGGTGACAGTTGAATATGCGATGCCTTTGTGTGCTTAAGCCCTTCTTTTGCATCGTATTTGCTTTGGAGACGGTAGAAACAAGAATGGAAGGTCCAACAGTTGTTATATAGTGGGAGCTATGGCTTATGTCAGAAAAGTATCAGGTGCTTCTCGCACTCTGGTAGTTTACTGTTGTCTGAGCTGCAAGTAACATGGATCAAGGCTTCTATGTTTCCGCTTTTGTGGATTTAAACAACACCTTTTGGGCCGAGATAAAGTGATTTGCCTTCAAGTGAAGTGATGCTCAAGGAGGAAGTCTAAGAAGGCCTGTGGAGCTGAATTTGCTTTTGCTCTCGTTTTGTTGGTGCCGGCGGCATCCAGTCGCCCCTGGCCTTCAAGAGCGAACGCAGCATAGGCGTTGACCCACCAAGCGATCTTCCTCTGGGGTTTTGGCATTCCGTGTGTGTATCTGAGAAGCGGACTACTGAATATTCGAATGATGAACACCACAGTTGAGAGGTTGAAAGTGCAATCTGCATGTTTTCTTATACTCTGGCCTGGCTGATGGAAGATATTAGCATGCCAATCTGGCTGCACATCATGTGAAATTCGATTGGAAGGGTGTTGGTGCCTTTCTGCGATGGTGTGAAGTGTAACAAATGTAACAACTCGTGCTAAGGAATGTCTCGAGAAGCGACAGGTTCTGTCTCAGGAAGTGTAGGTTCCTTTGCTGGCAGATTGCCAGCGGAGGTCAGCGTTATCACCCTTTTTTGAGGTTCTGCATGTCAAATGATCTTTCTGCTGCTTGCCTGGAGGCATTCTGGAAAGGGTTGAATCCAGGCCGGTGGCAATTTACCCAGCGACCGGCCTCTAAAGCAGTTGGTTTTCCCCTGGCCCAAGCGCTATCCAGGGGTTTGCACAGCCCCAACCTGATCCAGTGCAGGTGACTCACTACTTGATCTACATGGTGGTGGTGCCCGAGGGCGACCTAGTGAGCGACTGCGAGGCAGGAGATGGTGGGGCTTTCACTGAAATCCACCAATCCACCATGCGGGTGTAGCCATGTTGGAGCCCAATTCGGTCTGTGGGAGGCACTAAGAATTCAGTCCTGGCCATACTCCAAAATTGTACTGCAAAATTGGCTTGCCGGCACGTCATTGCAGCAAGTCATGCTGCCTGTATTCGTGGGGCTCGGTTCAAAGAGCGCCTCTCCTTGATGTGACACAGGCAATGGTCACTGAAGATGTCGACAGCCCGGCTGCGTGGAAGCACTAGACAAAACCGGTGTTTCAAGTTCTCCCTTTGAGGCTACATTTTCCAGGGTCAAAAGACCGGTGTTGCTCGGGACGGCGGCAGATCTGGAGGTTCCAACTTTTGATCGCCTGTTTGGCCTCCCTCACGTGTAACCTGCCCGGGCCTTTGGATAGATATCCGCTAAACAGACCCCTCTGTTTTACACTGGACCGCAAAGCATAGTTTTGACGCTTTGCGTGCGTCTTGTTTGTTTGGGGATTAGGAGACGCCACATGAAGCCATATCTTGAGAGAGCCTGTCCAAAAGGATTGTTCAGCTGCTGCTGTTTCAGCTGCGCATCAATGGTGCAGTCTTTGCAGATCCAGCGTTTTTCTTTGCACATGGGTTGCCCATGATTCCTTTCTTGATTTTCAGAAACCTTTAAAGTTGAAATCAGGCCGCTTGTTTCTAGCAGCAGCTGCAGGAATCCCATCTTTCTCTGCCGACGCCGGGATACAGCATGATCGGCGCCTACAACGTCAACATGTCGGTGGTGTGCAACAGGCAGGTTCAGAACTGCTATGGATAGACCTTGGCTTGATGTGAAGTGTGCCTCTTGCCGCTCAGAGGGAGCAAAAACACCTGTCACCCAGTTTTGTCATCTCCGTGAGTCCATTCACTTGCACACTTGCACGCAACTCCTTTGTTCTGCGGCTGTTCGGCTTTGGAGCGCTGATTGACAGGTTCCTGGTCTTGTTGGCAGAGGTGTTTTGCCATGTGATTTGCAATGTCATTCAAGATAGAGGATAGTTGCAGACGTCTTTGCTTGCGTAAGTCAGCAGATGTTATTTGAGCAGCTTACCGCTTACCCTGTTCGGGTGGCATAGCTTCACAGAAGTTGGGGTCGGCAAGCACCAGACGAATTAGTTCAGAGGAAGGTAGCGACCCGACATTCAATGGCTGATTTTGATGTCCATACCATGCCAGCCCTGGGGTGATTTCCCACAAGCAAGGTTTAGTGAGTAATGAATGAACCACCCATCAACTTGGTTTCTACCACGGGTTATGTGGTTTCATCCCTTCAATCTGTTTCCGAGGCCAGAAAAGCAGAGAGGGCCAGCGAAGAAGACTCTTTCCATGAAGGTAGTGTGCTCTTCCCCCGGTTTGTGCTTGCCAATTTGGGGCTTGTGGTCGAAGCAGCTGTTAAATGGTCTCTTGGTAGTTTTAGGAGGGCATGGGGCCCGCCCAAGTTTCCTGCAAAGACGGGGGGCACCCATGTTTGTTCATGTTCTCTTGGGAAAACACACAACTATGTTTAGGGCTTGTATTGATTGGCTTGGACTAGCTTCCAATCAAGCAGATGGGTCAAAGACGAGAGAACCCCGCCGACAAAGTCCTTAAGTTTCTTGGATGCTTGGCAAACTTAGTATGTAGGTTGTAATCATGGCTGCGGATTATAATTATAAGGACGCGGGTCACAGTTGCTCACTTATATCCATGGTTTTGAGCTACTCACCAAGTTGGTTGTACATCTGTACATCCAAGCTATAGCCTCTGCCTTCCGCAGCCAGGTCTTACTACATGACAGTGCCGGCCGTTCACTTAGAGTTTCAAGCTGGGCAGTTGGCGGCTTCGTGAAAGGCTCTCGCGCTGACTGAGCCAGTGTTGTTTATGCCCATGTGCCCAGACGCGGGAGCGCGCCACGTCATGTTGTTCGGACCATGCCCATGCAACGTCACACAACTTGATGGTTCCCAGCCATCCCCTTACCTTTTAGCTCTTTAGTGTTTAGTGGTAGTTTCCATTTAACCCACTAAAAGTTAGGCACTTTTAGGGGGGATCTGAGGGCAGCCCAGAGCAAGAGTGCCAGCGCGGGTGCAGGGGCCTGGTGTAAGGTTGGCACGGAGATGCTGGAGGTGCCCCAGAACCTGAGCTTGTATCCGTACACCCACTGGGCGGTCTACACGCGATCCTCCTTGGTGGAGCAGTCAACTCCCAGCTCCCTGATGATCTACGCAGCTCGGCCTTCCGCTAAGACTTGGCCGTGGGTTTTTGGACGTTCCCCTGCAGAACGTCCGCCTTAAGAGCAATAAGTGCACAGGAGGGCACGCAGTGTTTCCGTGAACGGTTTTGCCCCACGTGTGGCTAACTTGGTAATGTTGGCGCTTGATTACTAAAGGGCCCCCCCTGAACAATGGAGACGCTGGAATAATGTAGGCTCACTTTTGGGACGTCCAAACAATGGAGGATTTTGGGGCCCAATTCTACTTTAGTATTGCAGCCACTTGCTTTTTGCAATTCTACTTTAGTATTGCAACCACTTCTTCCTGAGCAGACTTTTTGGAATACAACTTTAGCATTGCAACCACTTCTTCCTGAGCATATTTTTTGGAATACCAATTACGTTAGTAGCCATTCAAAGGGTGTGCCTTTCAGCCAGGGAGGGCTTGAGCTAGAAAGAATCCCAGCGAAAGAGGAATGCCTCTAAGCAAGTGGGCCACCAATTGAAAAGGGAATGCTTTAAGCAAGTGGGCGACCAATTGAAAGGGGAATGCTTTTATCTAAGGGTTGATTCCCCATTCTTTCGTCACACGCGCACTCAGTGCAACGATCGGTCTTTCCAGCTGGTTTCGGCTCAGTTTTTGATTTTTTCTGCAGCGAGCACTGACGCATGCAGAAAGTTGTCCCGCGGGCTAGGGGTAGGGCCAATAGACTAGACAACCCCTTCCCCTGACCTGCCAAAGTCATGCCGCTGCAGGCCATCGATCTTACTGGCAGCGTTCTGTTTTCAGGGGCATTGTTCTTTCCCTACAACCATCGTTCTTTCCCGAGGGCCATCGTTCTTTCCCCAGCCATCGTTCTTTCCGCAACCATCGTTCTTTCCCAACAACCATCATTATTTCCCATCTTTCCCCACCCCATCATTCTGTCCCCCAGCATCGTTCTTTCGATCAAAGATCAGTGTGTCCCTGTTATTAGTTTTTCGCTTTTGCATCTGTTTTGGGTGAAAATTGGAAAACCAGAAAGAATGGGGAAGTATTGAATGCATTTAAGCAAGTGGGCGGCCAATTGAAGGGGGAGTGCTTTTAAGTAAGTGGGCCACCAATTAAAAGGGGAATGCTTTTGAGTAAAGCGACTGACAGTTTATTTTCTGGAGGGGGCTGGGGGCTTGCAACTAATGTGGTCCCCCTCAGAATGCCATTGTTGTGGTTCAGTGGAGTCTGTGATGGGTACCCTTGTCCTGCTTGTTTTTTTAATATATTTTTACACACGGTTTAATAAAGAGTTTGTGCAGTTTCAGGGCTGGGGATGGTTTTCCAATTTCAGAGGTGTCAGCTGGCTTTGGGTTTTGTGTTTGAGCAACCAATTGAAAGGGGAATGCTTTTAAGCAAGTGGGCAACCAATTGAAAGGGGAGTGCTTTTAAGTAAGTGGGCCACCAATTAAAAGGGGAATGCTTTTGAGTAAAGCAACTGACAGTTTATTGTCTGTGATTGTTTGGGGGGGATGGTTCCTTAATTAACATTGATTTGTTTTTTTTGGAATTTCCCCCCGGGCAAAACAACTTTCAGTTATTCTGGTATCCCTCAACAATGGGGGCGAACCAGAATAAGGAAAAAAAACAATTATTCACCGTCACATGATTAATTGGGTGCTAACATTACGTCTCACATAAAGTGAGTCCTAAAATTGTGTTCCCCTTCGACTTCTCATGAAACAAGCTTTTAACATGTAGACATTCATCAATGGTGCTTGGTCTCAGCGCATGAGGACATGGTGGCGAACGTGTCCAACATCACCTTCCAAGGTGCCGAGCTTAGTATGATCCCAGCGAGCAAAGGCAATTGTCACGGGGACAGCACCTTGTGCCCTTGCGGAATCGTGCTTGATAAATCCAGGATTGTCATGCAGAAGTTATTTGGGTTTGTCGCCAAACGTAAACAGGCCTGTTGGGGGGCAAAACCGCATGCAATGGACATCCAACCTTTTATTTTGGGATTGGGGGCTTTGTTATGAACAGGGGAAGGGATGACATCCAGTATGCTCGTTTTCTAGCCTCATCACGTTGGTGCAAGTTTAAGTCATCTCTCATTCAGACCCTGATTCTCACATTTGCCGCTGTATACACAGCATGTGGCGCAATTATGCGCAAGGTGGAGAGCATGTCGCCATATGGTCAAGGCCAAAAGTCACGCCAGTCTAATACCGGGCATTACCGCTCAAGGTGCATAACAGATGTCCTTCACTTCTTCTTTTTTTCGGCCAGCGAAGTGTCAAAGGTTGCCCCAAAAAATGGTAAGTGGCAACGGCTGCTTTAGGAGCCTTTCTTTAGTCCACCCCGTGAAATGCACGCCTTTCGAATTGTAGAGAGGGTGTTGTGCAAGCCCTCCCTGGAACACTGCAATTCGAGGGATGCCAGATTTTGGGTGTGTTTTTAGCCAACGACCTGTCGTTTGGGCCCAGATGCCAAATAAGCTCAGGTGATATCCCCAACCGCATGCGGTGCTCCTTTTTACCTCGTGGAACCCTGGTGGAACCTTACCTCAGGGCCGCCCCGGACCACCCCGAAGCCTATCTGGGCTGAGACCCCAAAGCTTTCAGCTGTTGGGGAAGAAGCACACGGCCAGCCACCCTGCATTAGGATTTGTAAGCGTCGGAAACTGCAAACTGGTTGGGTGGTTGTCTGAATCCCTGACCTTTGTCCACCATTTCGTGTCCCTAGCCGTTGGGATTGTGTATAATACAAAATATATGTATGAAAAAAACATCAACAATGTAGCAACCACAGGTTTTTGGGTTGAAGCCAAATTTTCCTTTTTCTCAGATACACCCCGAGGTTTGTCTGAAACAAAACCAACGGGTTTTCCTCGGATCCGTAGAGGTCTGGACCTGGACTACGCGCACCTGGGAGGCACGGTGAAATGGCTGGAGCCAGCCGCTTGGACCCAGGACCCGGCAGAGTTTTCATTTTGGGGGACGGGACGTGGGTTTTCCGTGGAGTTTGGCACGTCAAACTCTTTGGTTTTTTTTTTCCTGTTGGACACGTCTGAAGGACCTGCTTCTTGTGGCCCGAAGGGCGGAGATGAACATTTGGAGTGATGTTTGAGGGGTTCCATAGCCGTTTGGGCATGTATAGTAAAACAAATCGGGCTTTGGACCGTGTCGAAAAATGGGGACGGAATTTCCTTGTACAAGACTTAGGGATTCCCCCTTCCGCCCACAGTGCAAATAGTCCTGCTGGCAAAATGAGCAAAGCAAAAGGCGGTAGCTGTTAGACCCTATTCAGGCCCTCTCGTTTGTTGAATTCCTTTGCATGATGCTTATGTCCACGTCCTAAGGTGGTATTGGCTGAACAATCGCTCAGGTGCAAGAGGAAACTCATCTAGAAGTGGAGGGACCCCTGTTGAAGCTCTTTGGTTTCCCTTCAGCCGCCCTGGTCTTTAGAGCAATCCCGTGTTGCTGTCCAAACAAAAGCAAACGGGGGGGCTCTCCGGATGCGCTCACAAAGCGTCTTTGTTGCAGGTGTCAGGCATGCCAAGTGGTTGTCGTCCTAGCGAAACGAATGGCACACCGAAGCCCAAAGGTCCGTCTCCGAGGGGCTCGTCGTTTGATTCGAAAGTAGATAGGTTCAGAAGCAACCTGGGAAAGCTATCCATACTGTGGATGGACGCAATCCTGTACCCCCTAAGAAACCAGGGGAAGCCATTGTTTGTTGGTATTTCCAGGGGAATCATCATTCCGGGGTGTCTTAGGTGGTGCAGGATTTCGTCCATCCACAGTATGTGGGTGCCCCTATTTTGAGACTAACTGAGAGTTTCGAAGAGGTCGGGGATGTCCCTCAGCTCAGGCCTTGTTGGAGCGGGTCTACAGCTACGTGCTTTACTTGGCAGAGAGCCCCGCCGGGGACTATCGATCTCAGGTGGAGAGCGAGGCGCGATCCGCGGATTAGCTGCTGAATAGACAAGCTTGTTTGGGTGATGTTTGTCGGATGTTTGAAGGGAATTCAAAACACGACCCACTGCTTCCTTCATTACAGGACACACCCAGAACATGCACCGCAGGCACATGAGTACCAACCCGATTACAGCAGGCTGGTCGGAATGCGCGTGTGCCGCATATCTCATGTTGACAGCGGCATACTCCTGGAGAGATTGTCAAGCAGGCTACAAACCCGCATGGCCACAGGGAAGCAACAGCGCCATACACCGAATGTGATCATACTTGAAGAGCAAAGCTGGGACTGTGGTTATTTGTATATACGTATTAAGGTGTCAAAGGGAAACAAAAGGAAAGCCACAAGTTTGAAGGGTCCCCTACTTGGAGACCAGCCCGTATGGCGATTCTTGGGCGAGTGGAGCACATGTCGGACTTCAGTTGTGTGCTTGCGAGGTCCTGGTGGGGACCAACGAACTGCTGGTACCGGCAGAGACACTCCGCAGCTCCTACACCCATTTCGTGCCTTGCCGTTTCGCACTGTGTATTTTGCTTCTTCGAAGAATTGTAGCCTCGCGGACTTCGGTTTTTGGGGATCCCCTTATGTCAGATTGGTGAGTTATGCAGGTTCACCTGGCTGTTTCCGTTGATCAAGCTAGGGACTAGTCACGTGGAAGGGCATTCTATACGTGGATATCAGGGGCACGTACCCCAGGGGTACAATGCTTGAACCCTTAGAACCTTGATAGTTGAAGCCCAGTGGGGCACACTCCCAGCTTTGAAACACAGCTCTTGGGGACCTTGTTTTCCCACCGCATGTTGGTCTACCATAATTCTATCAAGAGGCCCATCGCAAGACCCCACCATCGCAGCCTGCAATTTACACCTATTCTTGGATGGATAGGTTTTGTCAGAGTACTTGGGATTGTGGACATGGAAGGAAGGAGTCTGGTTGAATCCCTCTGTCACTTATCAGGTTTGGCGGTTGGATGTTTCGGGCATCCGTTGATGTGTGAAGCTGCTTCAGGTGGTCTACACCAAGTCCACCTTGGCAGAGCAGCCGCCCGGCAGAGTTCACATGGATATATATATATATATATATATTACATTTATATCTACACATATATATATATTTATTTATATATACACATGTATATGTTTATAGAGAGAGAGACATGCTTACATGCATATATATATATATACAATTGTGTGTGTGCGCGTTTGAGTGTACCTGTGTGTGTATGTGTGTTCGTGTGTGTTTCGTTGTGTATTCGTGTTTGTTTGTGTGGGTTTGTTTGCACCCGTTTCATCTTTGAAGGCACCCATGGTGCATGTGCCTGTTGTGAGTCAAACCCACATTGTCGCCAACTTCCAGCTATGGGGTCTCGTACTCTATTCCGGGAAAGTGTCCCGTCTGTTGGTGCCAAGATCCAGGGCTCGGCGGTGTCCATATGGTGTTGCAGTGGCGCCCGGGGAGGTTCCGTCTCCTGGGGTGTGTGGTAGTGGAAACCCGGTCTGCTAGTGTCCCGGTGGTGTCCTGGGTCCTGGGTGGTGTGCTATGGTGTGCTGGTGGTGGTGGTGTCCAAGTGGTTGGGTGTTTTCTTGGGGGGTGTTTGGTCCCTGTGGTATCACCGGTGTGCTTTGGTGCCCCGGAATTGTCCCGTTGGTGTGCCAATGTCCCGCTGGTCCAGCAGTACTACGCACATGAGCATTGCGTCGTGGTGTGTTATCATTGTTGTGTTCTGCGATGTGTTGCTTTTTTACTTTGAACTCGCGAGTGTTTCATGCGACATTTCCATGCCAAGGAGCTTGACCGCAAGATATGCTGATCCGCCACCTTTAATTCAAGAAACGTTCTGAGTGCCGGATTGATCGACAGGAAATGCACGGTGACTCGGTTTTGCTTTATATGTGTGTTTATCTGTGTGGGTCTTTGCGTTTGTGTGTGTAAGTGTATGATTGATATTTGTATGTGTGTGTGTGTGTGTGTTGCATGTTTGAGTGTGCGTGTGTGTTGCGTGTTTGAGTGTGCGTGTGTGTTGCGTGTTTGAGTGCGCGTGTCGTGTGCGTGTTTGTGTGTTTGCGTTATAGTGCTTGCTTGCTCACTTGTTTCCATTGTTGCTTGCTTGCTTGCTTGCTTGCTTGCTTGCTTGCTTGCTTGCTGGTGTGCTGCCTGGTTTTGTTGGCTTGTTTGCTTTGCTTGTTTGCCTTGGTTTGTTTGATGAATTTGTTTGTTTGTTTGTTTGGTTGGTTTGGTTTGACTTGTGTTTTTGTTTTTTTGCTTGTGCGCCTTTGTGTCAATATATATATATATATATATTGATGTACCTGGGTGAATTGAATGCAGCGTGAACCCGGAGGACAACTCCGTCCTACTTGGCCTTCCTGGATGAAGTGTCCGTCGCCGGCAATGTCAGCTTTGTAGATGAGGATTTAGACCGATTTGAGCAGCTCAGCCTGATACTGCACTGTCACATGACATTGGGGTGCATCACGCCATATGAAGTCAGGGGATTTCCTGACTTCTGCCAAGATGTGCAGATGCCCTTTGAGTACACCGGAGACATCGATCGATCATCCAGGTTTGCACTCGTGTGTGAGCTTGTTCACAGCAGTTGGCATGTTTCGTTTGCGGTCTCTGTGCTCCAGAACGCCAGACGACAGATCAAGTGCATTTGCAATCTGTTTCTAGAGGCTTTTGACAGGTTGGAGTCGGATTGATATGCTTTTCAGGATCGGCGGTGACCTCGTGTGGCTGCAGCCGGAAGACGACTCAGAGGTCACGCACTACATGATTTACTTGGCAGAGGCGTGGACGCGCATCCAAAGTTCCCTGCGTTGGTCAGCAAGGTGGGGCATTCACTTGTTGGCGTTGCCATACTTGGCCAATCTGGCCTGCACGTCTTTGATAAGTGGTTTGTGTTGATGGGTGTTTTTACAGGGGGGGGGGGGGCAGGGTGAGTGTGGTCAAGGTCTAGGGACAATTGTACCGATCGCTTGCACAGGAGAAGCATGCTTTTTTGGAGGTTGGTTTGCCCCTTGTCTGCTGTGCGGCTTGTCCTGAAGAAACATGGGTGGCTGGGGATGAGACCTTCGAACAAACACCTCAACACCAACTCAACACCCAACATGCACCCCCGCTAGAGGTGCTGGAACATGATAGCGTGCTATTGAAATGGAGAGTTCCTGAGCTCCACGTTGGTGGGGTAATGAATGGCTTGAACGTAGGTCGCAGGTGGCCATGCGTCAACTCAACTCCTTCGAATGGCTGGGTTTCATGTTTTGGTTGACCCAGGCTTGTACCAGATGGGTGTGGCTCCAGCTTCTTTAGGGAATATGCGGTCTTTCCGCTTTGGAGCTTGGCCTTTGTGTGTTACGTTGTTTGCTTGCGTGTTGAGGCATGTTTTTGTGCTTGCTTGTTTGCTCGTTTGACTTGTTTACTTCTTTGATACTTGCCTGTTTTTTGCTTTTTTGTTTGCTGGCTTGCTTCCTTGCTTCTCGGCCTGTGGGACATGTTTGATAGGGGAATCTCCTTGGAAAGCAATCGGTTTTATTTAGCTCCAGGTATGACCATGAAAGTCTTGTTCATCCAGTAAGTCCGAAGTGGACATCTTTTGGTAATGCTGGCTTGGGTGCCAAATAGCACATCGTCTTCAAAATGTTCTCGAAAGGACACCAAAAGGAGATGAGTAATTGTTAGATTCCTCCGGATCTTTTGTTTCCCCGGTAGGTGGCCAACCAACCACTTGCAAAATTGGCCAAGTGAGTCAGGACAGCAGTGGCCTGAGTCGGTCACTGCTGGGCAACGTGTCCCGCGGGGTCCACGAGTTCTCGGTACCGGCGGACACGGCGCTGGAAGCCTTCACCCACCTCACCGTCTTCGCCAGGCGCGGGTTTTCGGAAGGCGATCAGTTGGAGTCATGACATGGGTCATGACCTCATGTGGGTCCGTGATGTTTTGAGGGTATATACCCTTTGTGTGGTGCTAAAGGGAAGTCAACAGGAAAGCCACCACTTTGGGGAGTCCCCGAAAAAAAAAAAAAAATGACAACCATTTTTTATGTGTGTTCTGACGCAGCTTTTCAAGGATCATGGATACGAGTAAGTGGCTATACTTGGAATTCCCCAAAAGTCGCAGAGCACAAATGCCAATGACTCCCATGTAGTATTGATGACAGGTGGTCTATGATTCACTGTCTCAATTTGTAACGATCTCACCGGTGAGTTGATTGGAACCAAGCTCATCCATGAAGGTTTCTTTCGTGCGATCCATTCCTAAAAGCCAGCAAAACAAGAGCGTGATTTTCTCCAAGGACCCTCTGACAGTGGTCGGAGGAATCCACTCAGAGCAATGGATTTTCATGGTTCGAACGCTTTCAAAAGACACAAAATGGTTGGGCTGGGCATAAATCCTTCCGGGTCAATGATGTTCACCAAAAGGCCCCTGGTTCGACCTACCCAAAGAATGGTCCCCCTGAAGAGCAGCCGTCAACATCACCCGCTGCTTGGAACTGGCTGTCGGCCTCCTTCTTGGTGGATCCTTTTGTGGGCACTAGATGTGTCACCCATTTCAAGGATCCGCCAAACAGGGCCCAGTGCACTTGGACGACATCCGGCGTGGTCAACCGATGAAGGAGACTGCTTGTAGGGAATTTCTCACATGGGGGCAACCCCAAAATTAGGTGGCTGTGTCTTTTGTTTGCCTTTAAAGCAACATGAAAGCAATTCGGAGAATGGTACCCTTCACAACGACACACCCTGGCGGATGTTTGAAAATTGACTTCGCTGCTTCAGCCCAAAGCCTTCCAGAAAGCTGGCAGCCGAAGCGCTGGGAGTGCAGTCAAAGATCCAATCGTACTTGGAACTCGAGAAAGCTGTCGCAAAGGGAAGGAGGCCGGAAAGATGAATGCAGGAAATGCGGCCGGAAGCGGGTGCGCGAAACCCGGATGCCCTGATGCAGATTCGTTTGACATGAATCCTTGGCATTGGTAGTTTCCTTTGGCCTTCCTTGTGCAAACGCCTCGAACAGTTTACTCCCATGCCTTGCTGTAAGAAACCTAGTAAGTGCAGCCCTCGATTGGGTCTCTGGAGAAGGATTCCAGTTCGCCGCATGTTGTCTAATCATGTGTGTTGCTTCCTGTGTTTGGCAGCCAATATCTTAATCGTTTCAGCTTAAAAGCTATGCTCGATGTCCAATGTGTGTTTCTTATTTTGCCTTTCCAATCACTCTCTTACTTTGTTTAGTTTGTCCCATCACTTGCTGGTTCTCCGCGAATCAAGGGGATCCCTCCGTGAGTCCAGCCAGTTGGATGGTTCATTTTGGGCTCCTTTGAGAGTCAATCAGCGAGCCAACGGGGTTGAAACCCAATCGGCGAGGTCGGAGCTGGTGGAGTCAACAACGCCCAACTCAGCCCGGGAACCCAGTGTTCAGTTTCCAAAGGGAAAGCTACCCATGCACCGTGCGGAGTCAAATTGGGTGAGGCCTGAAGGAAAGCCACCCCAAAAGGAAGCGACAGGCTGAAGCAAAGGGGGTAGTTTTCCTTTTGCTCCGTTAAGCCCTGCTCTTTGTGTGCCACAAGTTAACAATGGTGTTGTTGTTTAACAAGCCCATTCGGAGAAATAGCTGTCACGTTCAACATAAGTTCGGCGGCCGAAGCAAGCAATCTATGCAAATTAGCTCCCGGGGGATTGCGACGGAACTCACCCGGGATGGATTGTCCTAGGAGTCCCTGATATCAGGTTGGTGACGCATAGTGATTGCCAGCGAAAAAGCACTTCTCAAGCTGTGTGCGCTCGTGTGTTCCAGACGGTTTCAGAAGAGATCCTTTGCAAGACAACAACATTGCCCAACTCTTAGAAGGTGTGAGTACACTTGTTGTCTGTCTAAAATGCCGTTTCACACCGGTAGTGAATCAAAGAAGCATGCCCAAAGGCGGCATTCATGACGCTTTCTGAAACTAGCAGTTCTTTTTCGATCGACGCTTGAACAGAAGAGGGGGGAGTGTTTGTATGTATTGCATCGCCTTGTGTTCACCATGGCAGATCTAATACTGTGTTGCTTTGCAAATTTTGGGATGAAGCACTTGCCATACTCAAATCAAGTTTGCAGTTATATTCCCACAAAAGCGGAGGAGCCACCGATTTGTTGGAGCCGTGCCCGGCCATGTGGAGTTTGGGGTATCATGAGCCTTACTTATTAAGAATCCGAAGAACGAGGAAGGGTCGCACTATTCAGATTTTGACGGGGCAAATCGCATCGGCTGAATTTGGATATCAGAGTTTTGGTATGCTGCACGGGACATGTTTGTTCGCCGCCCAGCAAAGCGATAGCAATGTGTGAACTGGGTGATCTGTGTGTAAAATTGGCCTTGCTGCTCATGATGTGTTTATGCATTGTAAGTAAGGGTTGCGGCAACGCTGTTGATTTTATTCAACCTGCTCCGCAGAGTCGAAGACATGTTGAGGAATCTGCCCTTTTTCTTCCGCATGGAGATTCCATGTGCTTGCTTTGAAGTGATTTCGCACTGGCTGACATGTCAATGGGAGCTCCAAGTGTGCGTGAATCTCAGTTGCCGATACTCTTTGACTCCATGGTCAGTTTGGGAAGGAGATAGGGGGCAACACTAGCTCCGCGAAATGACGAAAGGAGACGTATGCAACATGTGCCGTGCCTGTTTGCGGAACAAGCAGCGGTGTTGTTTGTGCAAATGTGGACATGTCCTCGAATTGAGTGCTCATTTTTGGCTTGACGTGTACGAAACCCATGTGGTTTGCCCCATGCTTCTAGGTCGCCAATTTCGAAACAACCAAGGTTGGTTGACGTTGGTGGCGGGATCAAAGTCTTTTGACTCCTTTTGACACGCAGCCATGCTTTCCTGAGGCATCTCCCTTGGGTTCCTGTAGGGAACCTTAGCCTGCCTTCGGTTTAAGGAAGCTTTCAGGAGCCTTCGGGACTCCCCGCGCCCTTCTCAAGGATACGCTGTAAAAACATCAGTTGAGCAGCCACCCTCCGCGCCCCTTTAGAGGAGAAGCATAAGCAGGTTGTTGCAGTAACTTTTCTGCAAACATGTTGCAACCAGCGCAAAGGCGCAACCTCCGGTGCTGAGGTGTTGGTGGTGGACGTTTCCTCGAGCATTTCGAACCTGCGCTTCACGGACCTGGACTTGGACCAGCTGGAGCTCGGGGGCTACGCCACCTGGACCGGGCGCCTCGGATCTGGAAGCGCAGCTTCCGCGACCGGAAGTCTAACAAGAGGGAACGGGGCCAAAGGGCCGAAGGGCCGCCAATTTTGGAATTGTCCCAGAGGTATTGGAGTTCAATGCTCACTCAAACCCATCGCGAACTGGCAACCTGGGTCTGATGTTCGTTTTCGGCAGATTGCAGGCTCTGGGCTCGTGAATGCGGCGGAGGTGGCTCATGAAGACAAGCATAATATTTGCAAGTTTCATCGGGGTTTCCGTGTTTTGAGCCGTGGCTCTGTTCAGTTTGCTACACTTGTCTGGTTTGGCCTCGATGTTTTGGTAGAACTGTTGGTCTTTCTCAGGTCTGGTAGTGGGTTGATATGCCCAAGCTTGTATCCACGTGATGGCTTCCGGTGGTGAGCATGATGTGTATCGGATTGTTGTGATTGTTGTCAACCAACTTGGGCCGCTTTTGCCAACAACTCCTAGCAGGTTTTGTTTTGTTTAATATACAACAAATTGGGTCTACAGCAATGTTTCGAATCTGTGAGGTTTCTGTGGGAAGCACTTGCGGCATGTTTGGACTCCATGCTGTCGGAGTCTTCTGCTGAATTGGGTGGGATCGTGGCTTACCTATCCGGAATAATACAACATGGGTACGAATGGGTTCGGCATTTGCTGTGCTGCCGCCCTTTTGTCCCCATTTTGAGACAAACCCCCAAACTCAAACACGTGTCACCTGTTGTGCCAATTTCACCGCTGCCACACTTCGGTTTGTCCGGCGGTTGGTTGGTTGCTTGCTTGCTTGCTTGCATCACCCCGTCACTGGGACCTAGGGCCTAGGGTTGCCTATTGGCTCTGATTCGGTGGCAGCGCTGGTTGAATTGGGGTGGTTGGCTGTCTTAAATCTTACCGAGGGCGGTTTGGTTTGGAACACAATTTAAGCTCAGCAAGGGCTGATGTTGGGTGGGAGGTTGAAAGTGAGAGGGTTTGGGGTTGGCTTGGAGCTGATTTGTGGTAGCTGTGCTGCTGGTTTAGCCCCGTCCTCAGGGGGGTTGTGGTTAAGTGAGTGTTGGGCTGGTTTAGGCTAGCCAACCGATATGGCACTGAATGTTAATATTCAACCTCCTCGAAAAAAGGCGAGAATCATGATGCCCACCAGAGGGTCCCCCTTGAAATTCACACCTACAGGACCATGGAGGGAATCCGTGTAGGTGCAAAAGGGACCCTTGCCCAAAGACACCTTTGTGTCTGTTTTTGTTTGTTTGTTTTTGAAGGGGTTGTCAAAGGGGAACCAACAGGAAATTGCAAGATTTTGGGGGTCTAAGAAAGACGAACCCGTTTGAGCCACCCCTTTCCAAGGAGCACCATCGGGGTGGTGGGCTACCGCATGTACCTGGCCACGGACGCTTCGGGAGCTGGCAGGACTCAGGAGCGCACACGGGACACCCATGGTTTTGGATGAGAAGTACCCCGAAACGTGCTCCAAGAAACATGCAGGTGTTCCAAAAGGAAAGTTACCCCATACCTTGGTGTCAGCCTCCATTTTTCTGTTGGCAGGCTTATTGAGTTTTGGTTGAGTGTTCTAACATGTACAAAGAGCCCTGTTGGTCTGCAGACATTGTGTAGGTGTTCTTTGGACATTCCATGTCACTGGATTCTTAACCAGGAAATCATCCACGGGGGTCCTCCAGTTTCACACGTACCCATTTGTGAATTATAGTAGTTTGCGCAGATGGATTTACGTATGTGGTGATATATATCCGTAGGTATTGTCACCAAAGAGCGTCAACACCCAGGTCAACAGGCGAATGCTGAAGGCGCCTTTCTAATCCTGCCAGAAGTGGCCAGTGTTTACCAGGATATTCAAGTTAAGAAGACACACCAGCACCTTGAGTGAAGCAGCAGCGTGATGAACATCAAACGTTGTAAGGCAATGCTTGCTTGTTATACGCAAATGCGTTAGATTCTAAATTTTGGTTATGCCCTCGCACTATAGATCCGACAAGCGTTTCCAGAATGAAGAGCATACTATATCTAGCGGATGGACAAGGTTCAGCCGCAGCAAAGACTGGTCACTGGTTGCACTGAGGTGCAAGCAACTAGATGAATCACAAAATCAGAATGTGGGCCCCAGTATAGTATCAGCTCTAGCAATATGCAGGGACCGGAATGGGAGGGTCCACAGAGCATGCACGCTTGCAGCTTCCCGCGTGCAATGACAGTTGCGCAACTGAAAACAGGAAGCAGCAAGAAAGAAAGGGAGAGAAAGCCATTTGCAAATTAAGAAAGCCCATGCGGATTTGCACATCGATGCAAGTCTGAGCGAAGTAAGCAGGCAGGAGGCAGCAATGAGGCAGGCAGGCAGGCAGGCAGGGCTCCTTGGGAAGAGCAGCGTTGCTGTAAGGTCAGAACTGTTGTGTCAGGCAGTTCGGGTGACACCGGGCCCTGCCTGCGTGTTGGTACTAGCTGCCACGTGCTCCCAAGTGCCAAGCAACGGCACACAAGTGCTTTCCTTCTGAAGCATTGGCCCAAACCGGACCCCAATTTGGGCGCATTGCAAGCTGGAGGGTGGCGTGTTACCGTTCTTGATGGCTCTTGAGCTTGCACTTGCATTCCCTGCGAGTGCCCAGGCTGGTATGCTTGTTCTACCGGCATCAGCATGCATGTCTCGGCGTGCAAATATGCGCACAACATTTAGAATTTGGCGCTTATTCAGGGCATTTGAACATTAATTACCTCGAAGCGGGAAGAAGCCCGCCAACTCGCTAAATTGCTGGTGTTGATGTTATTTTCGCTACAGGAAGCCAAAAGGGGATGGGTAATCATGTTAAAGCCGTTTCTTTTTTTCCAGACGCTAAATGGCCTGTGTTGTAGTTGTTTGTTTGATTTATCATTATTTTCACTGCAGGAAGCCAAAAGGGGTAAGCATGCTAAAAGCGTATTTTTTTCCAGAGCTCCTATTTAGCACCCGGCTGAGACGACTTTGGGCAGGTAGGGTCAGAAGTGCCCGTGGGCGGCAACGTCCAGATGGTGCCTGCGGAGACGGCGCTGGGAGACTTCACGCACCTGGCAGCTCGGATGGGGATGGCCACAATCGAATCCGTGGAACCGAGGTGAGCAATGCCAACCAAAATGCCACAAGAAGCTCGTTTGAGTCTCTACCTTGGGTAGACCCTTGCATCAGTTTGCATGAGTTTGGGAAGCGAAGAGGGGACACGGGGTGTAGGTTCCCCGTTGAATGATGTGATGTTTAAGATCATGTCTTGTCGTGTAGCTACCTCCATGTGATTTGTTGCTGCTGTTGTGTGAAAATGCAAGTTTCCCACTTTAAAATATATTTTTTCGCGTTGGACGGACGGTCATATGTTGGGCACGTTTAGCTCAGAAATGTCCCCTGATGCTCAGATATCTAGGGCCACTTCATTCAGGGCACGGCACTTGGACTCCTGTCCTGCCCTCGCTTCTGTAGAGGATATGCTCCGTTTTGGGTAGAGCTTGCCTATGGCAATAAGCAGAAGGCCAATCATGTGGATGGGAATAGTCCTGCATGGGGATGCATGGCACCCCTATGAATTCTGCTTTCTAAACCACCAACTGGTGTGTAGGGAAATCGAAAAGCCAACCATTGGGCCTCTCATGTTTATGTCAGTTGAACTACCGCCAGGTAGTCTACACCAGGTCAGCCCTCGCAGAGCAGAGCACGCCGGTGGCGCCACTCGGATCAGATCGATGGCCGGCTGACTCAGAGCCTTGCCCTCTTTCCAATGGAATGGGTTCCCCAAACACAAGATGGAGCCAGCTTTCTGTGATGTTCAAAGGACCCGCCATTTGAAGTCTGCAAGTCTCAAAGCCGTCATTAGGATGGTTGGCGTCTATTTTCAGAAGGACTGACTAGCTTGAACTTCCCACGGATGTCGTCATATTGTTTGCATGATCGGTAGGAATATTTTAGCTGTTCCCGAAGCTTCGCTGCGAGGTTGCCGCTCGTTGACAACGTGGCGCAAGTAACGGACAGCGTGGAATGAGGGGTCGTGCCGTGGATCAAGTTTTGTGTGTGTGTGTGGTCTGTGTTGAGGGTACCCTTTGTATTTGTCGCCCCATGGTTCCGGGAGTACTCTTCATGGTCAGCGGAGGGACAGCCATCTCTTCTTGGCAACAGGTACGTAGGTTATTAAACGGCGTAGTATGATTCGCCAATACAAGGCAAGAGTGCGGCAGCCAAGTTTTCGTTTGCTTTGTGAGCTCTTGGAACAGCAGTCCTTGTTGCTCTGCTGGACCCTCAGTAGACGCAGATGGCACTGTGCCAGCACAAGTTTGTGACAAATCAGAGTGCTAGTGGGAATCTAGTGGGTAAGACCTGAAGTCCTGTGCGACCCCAAATATATCCTCATGTTTGGGGGGTGATACGAATCTGGGCGATTTGCGGCCCAGGAAAGCCAAAGGGGCCCCCTAGAGAGCTTCTATGCTTTGTTTTCCTAGAAAACCAAGAGGCAACATCTGCATCACCTGCATGGCATGGGCAGTTGGCCATGGTAGTAGCAATTGAGCCAGCGGTCTGAGGGGACCTCATGTTCGAGGGAAGGGGTATGAGTATGTCATAGTCGGAAACTCCTTGGCAGTGGCAGCAACATGAAGCAGCGGCCCTCCCCGCCCACGTAAACATGGCATCGGTCGAGGGTGGTGGCCCCAAGAATTTCATTCAAAATTCCATGTTCCCTTCTCAGGCAGGGTACTTTTGAGACAAATCCATGCCTCTGGCAGGACATCATCTTCCCCGACTTCGACCTGGACCAAGGCGATCTTGGAGGTCTGCTGGAATGGACAGAACCCATAGACACATCGCAGGCCGGCCATATTGCTGCCTCTGAAGCATGTGGCGTCGTCTCAACAGTGATGCTAGAAGGTGTATTGGAGGTACGTGAGTAGTTACATCTTTAGCTTGCGACTTCCTCGCCTTGGACATTGGATATGCATGTGTATTGCTTTTTACGTTGGTTCCAACACTGTTTCAGAGCCATGGCAAGGGGATCCATCGGAAGGTCAACATACCTTGTCCTAATGGCCCCTGCTAGTCACTCACTGCTCGTCACTAGTTTGGGCTGTGGCTCCCCTTGGTGCCCATAGCAGGATCCTTCAAAACTGACAGTGCCATCACAACTGGGAGATTCAGACTGGTGCTGATTGCGTGGTGTCAAACAGCTGAGCAACGGGCAATACTCAGTGTGTGCAGGGGTGACATTGGGTACACTTGCCAAAGTAGCAGGAAATTTGGGCCCAAACTATCATGCTGAATATTGACCGCACTGACACCGGCTCCTCGTTTCCCTCAGACTTCAGGCTTTCGTTCCCCTTACCTATCACAGCGAGGGGAAACCATCCATGGTACCGAGGGGTAGGAAGCCCCGGTGACCCAGCAGGAAATGGAAGGCCTGTTTAACTTGCGAGGAGTAGATTGCTAGGGAAAGAATGTGCAAAACTATATCACCGGAGTCCCAGTGAGATTCAGCAGTCCAGATCCAAGCCTGCGGGTCTAAGATAATCGCAGTTTCCTCTCAGATGTTGTTTTCCGACACTTTTGAGAAGAATACCCGAAAAAAGCAGCGTTCTCACGCCCGAATATTCCTTTCGTCACATATTGAGGCCAAAGCAAAGGCTGTCTTGTTCAGGTGAACCACTATGAGATTTACATGGTGGAGGCTTTCTCCGAGAACTGCAGCTTCCAGCTGAACAGCTCCGATTCCTCAGACGCATTCACCTGCGAGCGTGGCTTCTTTGGGACCTCTCCAGTGGGGAATCCCAATCTGCGGCTCGGCAGGGGCACGCCCTCGGCGTTTGCCGCGCTTGGTTTGCAGGGGATGCTATGGGCATATGCTTAAATAGGACCCCGAAACATGGGCAGATTTTCTCGCTTCCCTTTGAACCCAACTGAAAGGGAGTACAAATGTCTTTCTTGTGGCTTTCGGTGGTTCCCTCCTCCGGGGTGAGGATGGCAACTTGCCAAAGCACCTGACCTGGTCCTTTCACGGAGTTTTGTTAAATCACCAAACCCTGGTTCCTTAAGGGGAGCTACAAGGCGGTTCTTTGAACAGCGGTTTACTCATGTTGAAAGCAGTTGGCTCAAACCTGCCTTCAGCAAGTTTGTTGGGAACGGTGTTGCCACTGTTTTCAATGGGCGCACCCATTCGTTTGTGGCCGGCAGCGAATCATATAACTTAGCATGTGAATGTTGCTGGATTGCGGTTCTTCCGTCGCTCTTGGCAAATGTTTGACGAGTTTGCCGAGTTTTGCCTAGAATCGTTGCAATATGCAGTACTTTGTCACAGTGCTGCAATACTCTGTTGCAAGTTTTGTTTCTTTTCTTTTTTCTCTTTTTGTTTCTCGTTTTTTTGTCATTTGGTCATTGACTGTTTGCTTTGTGATTGTTTGATTCAGACCGAGTTGTTCAATTTCAATCCTTAGTCCTATTGCCAAATGATAGTGTGGTGTCTCACACCGGACTGCGGGTCAGGATTAGGGATTCCCCCCCTGAACACCCCCCCCTTTTAATTTATGAACATGAACAACCTTGTCAGACTGCTGAGACCAAGGACGGTTCCCATTGACACTCCGCTCCTGAATTACTCGCACATCGCCATTTTCACGCGCTCTTCATTAGTGGAGCAGACTACCCCAACGATGCATCTCATCTATGAGCCTCAGACGGCAAATCGTTGACAGGGTTCAGCAGGCGGATTCTTACTAGTAGCTGTGTTCTTCTGGCATGCTGCTTTCCGCTCAAGGATGCCACATTCTAGATTGTGTTCTTCAGTTCCTTTGATTTTCACTTGGTCAGGTGGAGACATGCTGTGCATAAGCAGGCCAGTCTGGATGGGCCGCCAACCTGCGACATTGGCATGGTCCCCCAAGGACGCACCATGAATCGTTCTCTGAACATCGGCTTACGTTGTCCAAGCATTGATGTAGGATGAACTACCGGCCAACAGCACCGAATTGGCTGTTTGCCCTTGGTCCAGCTCCATCTGTACATCTAAGCGCCACCAGTGTTGCTGGAGTTGCTTACCGTACCTTCATTTCCGGTGCAGTGTCAGCCTTAAGTTGCCATGTTTGTCAGAGGATCAAGAGAGCGATGGAAGTTGTGACCATTTGCTGAGGACATGGTGGCAAGCGTTCTCGACGTCAGGCGGTGCAGTGCTTGTGTCGGTGAGGTGATACTATGTGAAACTGGCAACATGCTTGTCCTGAAGGTTTGTGAGGAGAGTGTGCAATTGCACACATGTGGGCGCATGTTGGCGAACGCTGTCCATGAATCCAGTATATGTGACCGTACATCTTTTACTAAAACACACATATATATATATATATAGCGCAGCTCATATGTATATGTACATACGTATATATGCACCGAAGTTTGCCTGTGGAATTTTACCGCCGGTTGCCGAAAAAGCACACATGTCTGTCCTTTGGTCAACAAAAACAACCGCTTTGTTACTGCAAAATAATGTTTCAACTTTGGCTGGAAACATGGTCAGGAAAAGTCGCCGTTTGGCCGGGCAATGTCGCCGTTTGGTCTGCGAAGGTCGCCGTTTCACCTTCATGGATTTGGTCCAGAAGAGAAACAAGTGCAACATACCTTGAGACATGAAACAACGTGTCGCTTGTCTGCAAAAAAAACTGTTCAGAAAAAAAGGAAAAACAACATGAATACTACACACTTTGGACGATCTAGGCATGTATGTATTATATATCATTTGTATATATATATATATATTATATACATAAGTATCATCATAATCATCATCATCATCGTCATCATCGTCATCTTTACAATCAACCAATCAGCAAGTTCTGCAGAGCGCCAACTGGCAGGAAAAACAACTTTGTGTGTTGTTGGCGTCAGGTTCATAGATCAAGACCTAGACGACGAAGAGCTGGGTGGGGAGATGCGTTGGACCCAGCCGTTGCTGATGCAGCGGGCCACTTGGCACGCAGATGGCCCCAATGGCTCTCTGCATTTGTCAGGGTTGGGCCAGCCCCTTGTTTAACATCTGTTAAAACCCATTATTGCCCATAAAAGCAATGTATCCTTTTAGTTGCTCTTTCAAAGGGGAACAGGGTTGGTTGTTGGAAGAGATGTTGCCCAACCTGCTTGGATGACAGTGCTATTGAATCCAGTACATTCTGTGTTGCATTGGTCTAAGAACACAGCACATGCTGCTGCGAGGCATGTAAACCTGAGGAGGAGTAGTTGGCAGATTGCAGGTTTCATTTTCAGAAAGTAAGGCCCTTCCTTTTGGGTCCCACGGTCAAGGCAATGGAATTCGAGATGGGCATGAATGAAAAGGGTGCATTCCCCCCCGCTGATTTGCGACTTTGCGCACAGAATGACTGATTGGACGTTGCCATTGATTGTTCCAGCAACAGACGCTGGCAGTATCATCTAGGCCACGGCGAGCTTGAAAAGTGGGCAACGAAGGACGTGCGTCATGATCACGCAGTCGTCTCAAGCAGTCAGCACTCATTCACAGGTGGTGAAGCAGAGGTTAAAAATGGAACGTTATGACAAGTGAAGCCATAAAAAAAGCATCAAGAGAAAGCCATATGCGAGTCTAAATGCAAGCAACGCAAGGCAAGAGGCAAGAGCGAAGTCAATCCATGTGATTGGTCAGACTGTGCGGGTGTTTTACTTGCTTGTGATCCAGAGGTCCGCCGTTGGGTGGAGACCGTTGTGAGTTGATATCAGGTTGGTTGCCCCTAGCCTGTGTGCCAGGTGCTTTGAGACTCTAAACCATAGTTTAAGAGTGCCCGTATCGCCAAATGTAAGTTCCTTGCTGTTGATTTGTTTGACTGTTGGTCCACAAACGGTCTTAGTTTCTGTCAGGAAGTTAGGAAGATCCTTCGAGCAATGCACTCCCAGAAGCAGGTGCAGACTCATGTCGGATATTGCTTGAATTTGTCAGGTGGCGTTTAGGGTCTTCGCAATTTTATTCAACCCAGCACCCAGCCATCTTCCCGTTTTACTAGAGCCTTCCCTTGGACGAAAGAAAGGCGCGCCAGGTTTTTTTTTTTTTTTTTTTTTTTTTTTTTTTTTTTTTTTTTTTTTTCGCACAAGGACCAAATCACCAGGGTAGCAAAAGGTTTTGGAGCCCCTTTTGTTTGCCCTTTTCGACCAAAGTTCTGTCTCAAAGTGGCGAACCCCCTTTTTGGTTGGTATTGAGAGGGAAACCAACAGGTCGCCAGCCATAAGAACCCCTATTCCGAGAAACACCCACATGGGTTCCTATGATGGGGACCTGCACGCAACGGAATGCAAAGATGAACTGAACAGGTTGGGACCTTCCGCAATAACGAATCAAGGCCCATGAAGTTCTTGGACCTGAGGGATTTGGTGGCCTTGGATTAATTACATTGCCACCCTCTTTGGCGGCCGTCTCAAGGCCCACCGTTGGTCCCATCCCGGGCAAATTGTGGAGCTCCCTTCGTTAAATGGAACATGTGGGGAGGGTGGAAGGGTCCAAAGACTCGGCTTGAGGTCCTTGGCTACGACCTCTACCTCTCCCAGTTGCCCAATGGCCAGCATCGCAGCCGCGTGGGCCAGCTGCCGGCCACGGTGCTGGTGGAGGATTTGCCGCCGGAGACGCCGGCGCGGCCTTTCCTCGCGCCTTCGGCGGGAGGCGAAGCAGAGAAAAACCACAACCCAAGAGGGGAAGCCAGTCATTGCAAACGACATGGGGATGATTGGGGATGTGTCTAAGTAGGACGCACCAAACTAGTGCTGTTCCTTCGAGTTTCCCTGTCTACCCAGCTGAAGAGGGTACTGAGGCTCAAAAAAGCACACCCAGTTGTAGGTACAAGATGGCTTTTTGCCAAGTGTGTGCCCAAAGCGGTCAGGGTTCTTGGCTAACCATACCAGTTGTTCTTCGAGGGAA